CATGCCCGTGGCAGGGGGGTTGGAACTGGATGGGCTTTAAGGTCCCTTCCAACCCAAACCATTCTATGATTCTATAATGTAAATACACTGGAGAGATCATCTGCAGCTGCTTCTTGTTTCTAGGACTGGCTTCGTCAGGGCTAGGAGTGTGATGCACCTTAGGGAGCAGTTAACTGAGAAAGGCCAGTGTTCAAGCTTTACCAACGCTGAGAAAGGTAATGTGCTCTCTGGGGCCTTCCCCGGGCTGCTTCGCTGTGCGCTGCCTCATCCAGGCACCAGGCTGACAGCTTAATTGTCTGCTTCTTCCAGGCACCTGCATTAATTTGCCTGCTGTGCTGTTCGCTTATGTAAAAATACTTTCAGCTTTTAAACCTCTTACAGGCTTTCCAGCTGAAATTTGTCCTGAAGTCTGATGGAAAGATAGGAATTGCTGGATCTCTACCTGGTGGCAACTGTTGCCAGGAGGGGAGAGGAAAATCTATGTGAATAGAATTTAAACAAGGGCAATTTCCTTCACCTTTATACTTTGAGTTACACCCTGATAAGTCCATCCCTGATGTCCTTGCTAGAATCCAGCTTGATTTATCATTTTGCCAAGATCAACTTGTCTTTGAGTTCAGGTAAATGATTTCAGGTTCCTCAAAGACTGTAGTCTGGTTAAAATAAGACAGAAAACACGCTACAGCTGAAGCCCACCAATCTCTGGTTGCAACCCCCCCATTCCCATCCATGCACAGCAAGGCCCCGTGTAGTTTACAACAAGGAAACGCATTACACCGGTGCCAGACGTCACTGCAACAACCTCTAAGTACCCAGGTAGTAAACAAGTGGCATTGATTCTTCCAGAAACAACAGGTATCTTGTCAGTGAACAGCACTTGTGTTTTGTACTACTGTGTAGTTATTTTAGCCAGGGATGGTTTCATTACTGTTTCTTGAATTTCCAGAGCTGTCCCTGATTTCACTTTGAGTTTATACTTTTGGTGTTAGCGGTAACTGTCCGTTAAAGTCTCTGAGATAGTGTTACTGTGATGGCCCGGCTTGTAAGAGTGCAGTATCTGAAGGCTGGTTTGCTTTTTTTCCTGCTCGCCCTAGGATTTATGCATTAACCGAGTGCTCTCAGCTTTTAGCCCGATTGTCTCCTTACTTAGAGTAAAAGAGGAGATTCCAGGTTCATGAAATGCTGGCTCATGTTTATCTGGCAGCTTTTTGCCTTCTGGATGCAGTGGGGGCAAGACGCAGCGTTCCTGCTGTGGTGTGACCCATGCTTTTCTCTCACCTTCCAGATCCTGAGGAGTTCCTCAATCTCATAATGCATCAGATCCTGGGAATAGAGCCACTCCTGAAACTGCAGTAAGTTTCCCTATCGAAGCGATACAATTTACGCAGGCCAGGCTCTTTAGTTATCCACCTCACGATCACCGGGTGTCACTTGCACCTTTTCATCGAGGCTTTGGAAGCACAGCTCAGTGAGTTGCGTGCAGCTCCTCTCTGCCGTCCGTTACCGGCAGTCTCTGATCTTGCTGCTTGTGATCATGTCCCAGGTGATGCATCCAGGAAAAGACACTTTTAAGCTCTCCCTGGAGGTGCCGCCTTCAGAAAATTGTGATAAAAACCTTGTGTCATCCTCAGGGAGAGCCAGCAGTGGTTTGAGAAGTGTAGTGTCCAACTTCATTTGGGCAGAACCAGCAGTATCCGACAGCCTTTGGATACGTTTGGGATGTGTCCAGACTGTCAAGCTGGCTCAAGTCCTGCAGCCTCTCGAACAGGCAGTCCATGGATGCAGTCCCAGTTTTTCAGAACTCTACAAAGAGGATGAGAGGCTCAAGGAAGCCAAAAATAACTGTGCTGTTCAGGAGCATAGAAGGGGATTGTTCCGTTTCTGTGCTCCTTTGTTGAGACGTCCGTCAAGCCGTAGATCGTGGAGTACTCGGAAAGGCCGAGCACAAAGACGACTCTGTACTGCAGCTCCCCTGCACAGGGTCATCTGAAGGAAATCCTTTCTCTGCTGGCTCGGGGATGCAGGGCTTGTGGGAGACCTTCTGCACACAACTCACCTTTTGAATGCGCTGAGTTTTGCTCTGTGGCTTTTGTATGTGCGGTTACAAATCGATTTTTGAGCTGAGAAGGAGTTTGCTGATTGTGCCATAGTGCAGTTGACTTAAAAAATATTAAAAGTGTCTTTTAATATTTACATAGATGAGGGGAAATTGAGTTTTGCTTATAGGAGCAGCATGTGATGCTGTGGAGGGATAATGAGACCAAAGGTGGTACTTGTATCCTCTTCTCATGGCACGTATTTAGTATTTCTGAGTGGAAAAAGTGCTTCGTGTCAGTGTTGCGCCAAGCAGCTGTTGGTGCCTTGGGCCCTAGAAGCTCTTGCAGGACGAAACCGCCATGTCCTCTGGGAGCTCAGATGTTTGTGGCACCACGTAAACAAGCCCCGTGACCACTCCTTGCAGGTCAGGAAGCCAGAAGGAGCAGGAGTGTTACTGTTACCAGATATTTATGGACAAACAGGAGGATCTGGTGGTTCCCGACGTGCAGCAGTTAGTGGAACGCTCCTTCCTGTCCTCTGATCTGAAGCTAGTGGAGGTGAGCCCAGCTGCCTTCTGCCTACGCTGCTATCTGCTGCCTCTTTCTTGCTTCCTCCAACGTAGCTGTGAGTCTGCAGTGGGTCTAGAAAATCTTATATCCAACACCGTAAAGAAGCAGGATACAGTCACAAGAGTCTTGGAGACTCTGAGCGTCACCTGGGAAGAGGGCTGTGCTTTCCCTGTTGCCATTTTGTCTTGTGAATAACCGGAGCAGAAAGTCTTTCCTTCCAGCAGGAGTCTCTGGGGCTTGTCTCTTCTGGCAGGGTGACTTGTTTGCCTTTCTTTTCCCAGATCCCATCTTGTTTCATTATCCAAATGCCGCGTTTTGGGAAGGAATATAAAATGTTCAGCAAAATCATTCCTTCCTTGGAGCTGGATATAACAGATCTGCTGCTTGACAGTAAGTTGTTGGGCAACGGTAAAGCTGCCGGCTGGGACTGTGAGCAGCCAGGTGACAGGTCTCGCCCCTTTGGGTTGTGAGCAGATGTAAGGGGAAATCGTGTGTGATTCTCCTTCCCTGAACGCCAGTTTTGGCAGGACAAGTTGGATTTCAGGTGAGAACCAGAGAAGACACATCCTCTCACCTCTCTTGCCCCTGCAGGTCCCAGGGAGTGCTGCGTGTGCGGCAACGTCGCCACCCTGGAGTGTTCAGAGTGTTTCAAAGACAAGGTATTCGCCGCTACGGGCCTGAAGCAGTTCTGCAGCTCCTGCTCCAGACAGGTATTCATTTTCTTGGGCTGCTCACAAAATTTGCCTTGGTGGCTGACAGCAGATTGAACCCTCCAAAATACCCGCGGTTCCCCTGTTGTCCCTGTCGCCGTTCAGGTTGGGCACAGAGAGGCCCCTTCCTGAGCATCAGTCCCACCACCTGCAGGCGTTAGGTGCCACGCGTTATTGAACCCTCTGCTTATGTAGAGCCTAAGTAAGCCCTGGTCCTGCACCGACGGAGTGCTGGGCCCTCCACGCTGTCTCACCCGGCGCATCCCTACAGCTTTCTGGCCTTTCTTGGAGGGTGGCAGGCTCCCGTCTCAGCTTCTGTAATGAAGATGGTGAGGGGACTGGAGCATCTCCCAGATGAGGAAAGGCTGAGGGAGCTGGGTCTGTTCAGCCTGGAGAAGAGAAGGCTGAGAGGGGATCTCATCAATGCTTATCAATACCTTAAGGGTGGGTGTCAAGAGGATGGGGCCAGACTCTTTTCAGTGGTGCCCAGCGACAGGTTGAGGGGCAACGGGCACAAACTGAAACTCGGGAAGTTCCATCTGAACATGAGGAAGAACTTCTGTGCTTTGAGGGTGGCCGAGCACTGGCACAGGCTGCCAGAGAGGCTGTGGAGTCTCCTTCTCTGGGGATGTTCAAAACCCGCCTGGACACAATCCTGTGACCCTGCCCATGGCAGGGGGATTGGACTGGATGATCTTCTTTGGTCCCTTTCAACCCCGACCGTTCTGTGATTCTGTGATTCTTGCTGCCAGCCTGTTCACACAATGCCATCCCCTGGCATGCAGGGACCATGGGATTCAGATCAGTGGGGAGTAAACTGGGGGTCTGACCTCTACACACTCCTCTTTCTGGCAGGGCCAGGGTCAGTTCTCCCCTCTCCCCAGTGCCACCCCATCTTTTCTCCTCAGGTTCACTCCCACTACCGACGCAAAACGCACAAGCCAACTAAACTGCACATCCCAGAAGAGTTTCACAGCCGGAGCCCCCGGGGAAGCCAGCAGGTCCCTCGCGAGAAGATGGAGCTCTTCGCAGTGCTCTGCATCGAGACCAGCCATTACGTCTCCTTTGTGAAATACGGCCCCGAGAACAAACACTGGATGTTCTTCGATAGCATGGCTGACAGGCACGGTGAGGAGATAGTGGTGGGTTCGGAGCTTTGATCACAGCCGGGCGCTGCGCTGTGGGCGGCTGCAAGGGTCTGCAACACTCATTGCATAGGCGCCGGTCAGTCAACCCTTTCCTGTGAAGCCCCCTACAATCTCTGGACCCTGCTTCCAACAGTGACCGTTTAAGCAGCCTCCAGAGAAGAGTATGGCCAGGCCAAGCACGTGCGAGTTCCTCCTCGTGCTTTCACCCTCTGGCTGTGTTCAGACAAGGCACTTGGTGAGCCAGCTGGGACTGGCTGCTGTGTGGATGAGGACCATTCTCCTGGCCTTCCCCACTTTGTTGTTGGCCTCCGGATCTCTCGGCTAAGGCGCTGCGTTACTGTCGAGTGTGATGGTATCTGTTTGAGCTGTAGGTACTCATCCCTTGGGACCTGGTTTGGATTTTTCTCCTTCTTTCTGGATTAGGTGATGAAAACGGCTTCAACATTCCCACGGTAACGCTGTGCCCTGAAGTTGCCAAATACCTGGACTTGCCACTGGCTGTGCTGGCCCTGGAGCAACCTCGGGATATGGATGGAGTGGCCAAGCGCCTCTTCTGTGATGCCTACATGTACATGTACCAGAGCAAGAAGATGGTGCTTTACAAATGACACCGCCTTGGGCTGGTGCCGCAGAGCAGCGAGGTGTCGGAAACGTGACCTTGGATCAACTCTACAACTCGTAATTGGTGAAAGCAGCCGAGTCCCGGTGCACTGAACTTGCACTTCTGCCTCTTCTTACCTCTCCCAGTGTCTGGTATCAAGCTATCCACATCAGCCTGTGGTTGTTAAATCCTGTAGCTGGCCTTATCGAGTGATAGTTTGTACTTCTGGCAGACCTGGACTCTGAGTTATTTACACTCAAATTCATTCTCATTTCCTACCTTCCCTATCCACCTTTCTTCCTCCGCAGGCGCTCTGCAGCTCTGCCCTACCTCAGAGTCCTCCCCAACCTCCTTTTCTCCCTGCCAGCCCTTCCCTCCGAAGCTGAGGACCGGCATCTAATCAAAACATGAGCAGTTAACCTCAAGTTTGCAAAGAGCACAAGAAAACCATAGCCTCACCCTTGCCTAAGACATCCTCACGTGGGCTTGCCGAGTGAGGAAACCAGGAGGGCCGAGCTGCACCGGTGTGGTTAAGAGATGGGTCAGGACGAGGGTTTTTCTTGAGGTCTGGGATGTGACCCCAGCTGGGTCCCTGAATTGTCTGCACTTCCCTTATCCAGCACTAATATTCTGGGACTTCTACCCACCATCCCATATTTTCAACCATGAGATTAATTGGATGTCTTGAGCCACAAATATGCTTTAAAAACACGTATTTTTGTAAGAGCAAAACTGGAAGAAAGATGGAGCCGAGGAACAGCACGTGAGCTCATTATGCTTCCTCTTTTTTGCAAAGTCTGCACTATTGCTACATGGTGGGGTGTTTTAACCTCACTTTTAGCACTTACTGTCCCGTCCGAGACCTGTGCCAAAACCCAATAACAATTCCGAGGGCAAAAATGGAAAAAAATGAGCACTCTTGGATTTTTCTGCCATGACTGAGTAAGGTTTAAGGTCTCTGGGTGGGAACTGGTATTCTTTAAAAGTTAAATATTTTAAATTTGCAAACTTGGGGGTTCTCTGCCGTTAAGCACGTGCTGTCATGGCAGTGGGAAGCTGTTAGGGGAGTCAGCGCTATGAACTGGGGTGCCCAGATTGCACTGACAGGACACCAAAACGTTGAGGGACGCATCCAGCACCCCCAGATGTGCAGCTGTAATCTCCCTCCTGCTGTTTTTTTTCCTCTTTAATGCAGGGTGCAGTGATTGCAATATGCAACCTGTAGCTGTGTATTGATCCTGTTGGCTTGGGCCATGCAATATACCTGGGTTAGGATCATTTTTTTTAATGATAGCAGTGTTGCGGTGCTAACTGGGACCTCAACAGCTTGAAATAACGGCTTTCTGGTGTTCTCTCTTATTTCTGGATGTGGTGACTACGAAGGACGGCTGGTGTCTAAAGAACCCAGATCGTTAACGTCAGTTCAGCTTCTAAATGTTCTCACTGAGCATTTGGGCCTCAAGGTCAAGTTGACCACGAGGCAGCAATGTGTCCTCGTGGTAGAGAAGGCGAACGCTGTCCTGGGCTACGTTCAAAGGGTTGCCACCAGGTCAAGGGAGGGGATCCTTTCCCTCTGCTCAGCACCGAAAAGGCCACACCTGGAGTACTGGATCCAGTTGTGAGCTCTCCGGTACAAGAGAGATGATGAGAGTCCAATGAAGGCCCATGAGGATGATGAAGGGACTGGAGCATCTCTCCTATGAGGAAAGGCTGAGAGAGCTGGGACTGTTTGGCCTGGAGAAGAGAAGACTCGGTGGGATCTCATCAAGGTAGAAATACCCGAAGAGGGGGGATCCAAAGAAGATAACCAGGATCTTCTCCGTGGTGCCCAGTGCCAGGACCAGAGGCCCTGGGCACAGAAACACAGGAGATTCCCTCAACATCGGCAACCCCTTTTTTTTTTTTGGCCACGAGGGTGACGAGCACTGGCACAGGTTGCCAAAGAGATGGTGGAGTCACCATCCTTGGACATAACTCAGAATGGTGCTGGGCAAAGCCAAAGCACCAGGGGTGGAAGTCTGTCTAGGAGTAGGCGAGTGGCAGAGCTAGCAATGGATCACGCCGGGATGGCTGGAGGGTCCTGCTGTCTCTCTACTTAAAGCTGCTCATCATTCCTTCTAAGAACTCAGGACAATCTCTACTCAGGTACGCCGGCGGGGTTGGGCTCTTCTATTTCTGGTGCTTCTGCTCCGAAAAAAAAAAAAAAAACTTAAATTTTT